AACATTTTTCTCAAATTGAGTAAACTTAAAAAGATTTGCTCTGTAAAATGGACAAAAATACAGACAAAATTCAGGCTTCACATGGTATAGATAACAGCAACAACATGTCTATGTTTATGGCACTATGTCTGTATACAGTATCATAGCTGAAAACAGCAGTAGCCTGAATTTTGTCCGAACTTTGGTCTGGGTTTATGGAGAACAGTCTGGGGCAAAGGGAAAATTGTGTATGATACATTTTTTGTCAGACTATTTCTTTATCGTCTGCTTTGGTGAAACAGCTCTGGATTATGAAGATGCTTAATAGTTACGCTGAATCCTCTCTGCAGGGCTAACATCAGAGCTGCTTGGTCTAAACATGAAAAACAAACAACTGGAGTGTCACAGCTCACATGGCAACTAATAGAGAGAAGACAGGGGGTAGGAGAAAGAGATCAAGAGACTGGAGAGAGACAGACAGAGAAAAAAGAGAGAAGAGAGAAGGGAGTGAGAGAGACGAGAAAGAGAAAGAGTGAAAGAGAGAGCAGGGGAAGGGGAGAGAGAGAAGGAAGAGATAGACAGGAGGAGGGGAGGAGAGTAGAGAGAGAGGGAAGAGGGAGAGGACAGAGAGATGAGAAAGAGTGAAGAGAGAATAGAGAAGGGTAGGGTAGAAAGAGGGAGAAGGGAGTGAGTGAGTCATAGAGGAGGAAGAGAGAGAGAAGAGAGTGAGGAGAAAGAGAGGAGAAATAAAAAGAAGGGAGAGAGTAGAGTGAAGATAAGGAAGGAGAGACAAGGAAGAAGAAGAGAATAAGAGAGAGGGAAGTGAAGAAAGGGAGAGGGGAAAGAGTAAAGTTTTGGAGAGGGAGAGGAGAAAGAGAGGGAAGTGAAGGTAGGGAGAGAGGAGGACGAGAAGGGAGAGAGACAGGACTAGAGGAAAGAGGGGAAAGAGGGAAAGGAGAAAGAGAGTGAGGAGAGGGGGCAGAGGCAGAGAAAGGGAGAGGAAAAGACAGAAGAGAGAGGGGAGCGGAGAAAGCGAGGAAAAGAGAGAGAGGGGTAATGAGACAAAGAGAGAGAAGAGAAAATAGGCAGGGGAAAAGTAATAATGGGTAGGGGGAGAGGAGAAAGAGAAAGAGGGAAGGAGAGAGTGGAAAGGGAAAAGAGAGAAGGGAGATAGAGAGAAGATAGGACTGCCAGGGAAAAAGCAGAAATGCAGAAGCAATAATTTAGCTCTTCTGTCCTTGGAGAACATGGCAGTGTGAGAGAGAGAATACAGAAAGGAATTTAGAATACAGCAGACACTTCCCATTGTCATTCTGATAATGTGGAGTCAGACGATGGGGGGTGTGTGTGTATGGCGTGTCTAAATATGTACTTATATATGCAGAAGTCTGTGTATCTGCGTGTGTTTGTTATATGGAGACAGTAAGCTATTGTTGATCCACTTTCTCTCCAATATATTCTCATATTCCCATAGTCTTTTGATTGCGTCTCAGTTTCTGATGCGCCTCTCTAACCCGCCTCATGCTGCATTTCAGGAGCACTTCTGAAATACAACTCTGTAACTTTTTTTTTCAAGCAGCACACTTCCATCAATCACAAACTGCATGGTGTATGTTGCAGTAAAACCCTCCACAGTAACGCTACACTAAACCATACAAACGGTCGCAGGATTAACTGTCTGTCCGAACTAAAACATCCACACCGTTTTTGCCTCTTCATTTGTTTTGAGTGTTTTGTGCACTGTGAAATCTAAATGTCAAAGAAGAAAATTGCACTGCGCTGGAAGCAGGTAGGTTATTGTGAAAGGGCTTTGATTTATCCATGTTGCAATAGTAAGTGCTGCCAGGTCAGATCACAAGATGTGGGGATGTACAAAATTAAAGCAGTACTATGCTGCTCTATGTCAGCTTGCAGAATTAATCTTAACCTAGCTTATCTGAGCAAAACATAATAACAATAATAAAAAATAAAACACCAACAACAGAGATTGTTTCTAAGCCTAAAGTCCCTACAATCATCCATGCTCCACTTACAAAAGCCCTATTCTAGCTAGACTGGTTTTAATTGGGGATGTGCTGTAATTTCATTGACTCATGAGACACCATGTATGTTAATAATTTTGCAGCAAATTACCTTTTTTTGCTGAACCTATAACTCCCTCATTAATTATAGTCTAGCTTGAATTGACCTCAAAGTAATGTAATAACAATACCTGCTAATAGACAGCATCCAAAAAAAAGTCTGATTGCTAATATAGAGTTCCATTTGGCATACTTCCTTATTCTCAAGTTCAACACATTACTACTGCAATCTACAACATTTTTGGTGAAACTCTAATTAAGTAGAGGATGAAATATTTTGAAAGTACCTGTTGCAAAGCAGTGCGGTTTCTGTCTTGTTGGGCAGCATTTGGTAAGTTGAATGAGCCTACGTTACTAGCCTAATGCTAGTAACTACAAGGTAGTCTTTGTTTGTTTTGACCTATCTTATTTTAATCTCAATGCTATTGTGAACATTCAGAGTATGATTCAATCTGGTGGAACAAAAATAGTTGACGCTATCAAAAGTTGACACAATATTCTTGCAGGGTCAACTTCTGATATGTGGAACTGTACATGTTAAAAGTTAACGCTGAACAAAGTTTGTACATTTCATGGTACTATAATGCTAGTTACAGCTCCACGTTTAGCCTAGCAACCTGGCATTTAAGCGTTAATAGGTGTACAGCCAGTGAGAGGTACAGGGTAGGTCAAGGTAAACTAGCAGTTCAGTGCTTTATCTGTCAGTGAAGTGAATAGGTAATTTACTATTGTACTGATTATTTATTACTGAATATTATTTTAGCGTTACTATGAAACACAAGTACCTTAACTTGAAACAGACATAACTGAGAAGTCTGAAGTAAGTTTGTGCAGCTAGGCTAGCCGTGATAGCTAAAGGTAGAAAAGATATTTATCTCTTCTCAGTGTTACTGTGATAAGCAAACATGCTATACACAGCATGATTTGTCGCACCACTACACAAGTGAGCTTGCATTTGTGGGTAGAGCATGGACAGAGTATTGGTTACTTCACTCAGTGACCGTTTACTGTGATAATTTATGCATGGTTATCTGAGTATGCTAATTCTGTTACAGACTCAACTCTCTGCAGTATCTTCATCCTATTCATTCTTTTAGATGACTGTATCTCACCCTCGTCACATTAGCAACTCTCTGAGAAATTGTTTGGAGTGACAGAGTGACTGTTAAAAGCCATTAGAGGCAAGCAGAGTGCTTTTATTGATCGGTGTTATGTGCTTCACTTACAGCTTTAGCTCTGGCTTTAAAGACGACAATGACTGATGACAATATCACTGCAGGATCTCCATCGCCTTTTCGTGTTTACTCTTCTTTTCTTTGGCCACGGATCCTTGTCGATGGCTCTATAAATAGCTGAATGGCAGTAATGTCTGCCCTTTTGAAAAGGCTTCAAGTGCCTTTGTCCTTGAGCCAAACAGCAGATCCAAACATTTCACACAAAGCAATGAGACAATAACAAACACAGCAGCATCAGATGCTGATCATTCTAACCTACTTGATTATTTAGAATGTATGAATAGTATTTACACTGATTATGTGGTAGAAAGTCATACCATATGTCTTTAGATGGTTTACTGTGAGGTATACGCAAGTAGTTCTGTGTAATTACTTTCACTTTATTTGTAAATAAGCTGTTGCTGTGCCCTAACTGTATACTAAACACTAATTCTGACTGGTACAGTATGTAATACTAAAAAGTGCCTACTTTTAGTAATACTAAAAAGTTGAGTATACTCCAAAAATCCAACATGCATACTTAAATGTCTGCGGTAGATGGATGATATTCTGTTGTTTTCAAATGGAGCCGCAGGGAAAATTCGGCCACTGCAAGGGGCAACATTTTACAGACTAAGCGGAAAATTACGACCAGAGTTCTATTTTCCTAACTTTTCCCTTTGACTGCACCTGTCATACGTGCTGGATGTTGATCTTTGGGGCAGCCATGGATGCCAGACATCTCATTGTTGAATTGGGACAAACTCAGTATCATACAACAAAAATAAAAGAGTACAGAGTGGCCTCCTGCCTTTTTCCACCTTAAATAAACTATCTACACTGCTTCTCTGATAATCATCCACTTTTGCCAGCACTGCAGTCACCATACCAACGTTTGCATGGTTTCATGCCACCATCGGCTGTGAGGTGTGGAATGACACTTTTTTCAATGCAAACATGTGAACGCATCATTAGAGTCAAGTTTTGAATATGGTGTTGATGGACAGCATGTCCTACAGTGCAGTCGATGTGAAGAGGGAGAAGCTACTCAAGGCTGGAAAACTTGGAAAATATAGCTAGCCAACAAGCTAGAACCAGAGAATTTCTAGTAAGGACAACTGCCACTTATTAATGTCTTCCAGGGTTTGCCAGATGCGCATTTTAAAATAGGTTATCATTCTTAGAGTACTCAAACTCTACTCCCCACTGGAAAGAATGAGTGCTATTTTAGGATAGATTTGTTACAGAATGGAATCACGTTCATTTTTTTTCCCTCCGATATCAGATCCATCATTTTCTACTAATATAGCCTGATACTAAGAGTTAGACACTATTAGTAATAGATACTATTATGGGATTGGTTCTGTGTCTGTTGGCAAAGCAACGTTATCATTTGTTTGTACAAGACACATCTGCTGCAATATTGCACTATTAAGATTGGTATACATTATATAGTATTAGTATTAAGCATGCAGTTGGGACACTGACTGCTTTGTTAAATAGATTAATGCGCCATTTCCAGTCGTTTAGTAGACACTTGATGTTGAAGTCAGGGCAGGAGTGTTGTCTTCTTTGTTTTTTCTGAGTGCATCTGTGCTGGATGGCTGAGGTTATGTGTGTGTGTGTGTGTGTGTGTGTGTGTGTGTGTGTGTGTGTGTGTGTGTGTGTGTGTGGGCATATGTACATGTGTCTTTCTTCACCATAACCTGCTATGTTGGATCTACAGGTGCATTACAGATAGAGAACAGCGAGGAGTCGGACCAGGGCAAGTATGAGTGCGTGGCGATGAACAGCGCAGGAACTCGCTACTCCGCCCCAGCCAACCTTTACGTCAGAGGTAAGAATGGGTCAAAGGCTAAAAACTCTAAATTAACTTTAAATGAACCCCTTAATAACTACCTCTACTCCCAGCTTAAACAGGAACACTCAGGACCGGGATCACACTCACTCGCTCTCTCTCTCTGTCTCCTGTCTCTCTTTGCCAAAATAAATAACTCTAAATATCTGTCATATGAACAGAAACATCACTCACTCCTTCACTCTGTAGGGAAGACGATTCTGCTGTTGATGTCTAATGTATATGTGTGTTTTCTTTTTTGATTTTTTGAGTTTGTTTTTCTTGACCCCACTGTTACAAATGTTCAAAGTCAACAACAGGAATTTAGATAAAAATTATGCATTTATTTATTGTTCACACATTGCACTTTTTATGCTCTGTAATGTTTATTTGATCCACATGGTTATTCCGTCAGATTGTAATACTCTGGCGGCAGTGTGACTTCTCTTGCTATGTTGCACCATTAAAGAAGAGATTGCTTGTTGCACAGTTGGAACTTTGAATGATAGGAAAGGAAAGGAAAGGAAAGGAAAAGAAGAAGAGAGAATAGTTTAATTAGTATTGTAGTTACAATGCATTACAAATGCATTAGTGGAAGTGTAATTACCAGTAAGAACACACCAGTATGAATGAGGTTTGCTAAAAGGAGGTAAAGAGCATTTTTATAATAAGTAGGAACAGATGAGATAAGGATCATGCAGGTAGGGTGAGGGACAATAATAGGGGAAGTAAGGGTCAGATATAGGTGAAATGAGAGTACAGTTGAGGTGAAGGACATTAACAGGTGTAGGTAAGTTTCAGGAGAAATAAGGATACAGAGAGTGGTGTCGTTCAGGAACGGGTGAAATACGGGTATAAGTGAGGTATGGGTCAGTAACAGGTGAGATAAAGGTCAGGTGCATGTGAGGTAAGGGTCAGGTACAGGTGAAATGAGAGTACAGGTGAGGTGATGGTGAACTAAAGGTACAGATACAGGTGATGGTTAAGTACAGGTGAATTCATGGTCAAAGTGTGTATGTGTGTGTGTGTGTGTGTGTTTGTGAAGCAGCAGGCTCAGGCCTGCAGGCTGTGTGGATATGGCTCCTGTCAGGCTGCTGTAGGATGAAGGTGAAGGTGGAAAATCCCCTGTGCACAGGATGAGGTTTCAAAGGGAATTCTGCCTTCACCTCTTCTGTTTCAACTAGAGTTCACAGTGCAGTTCTCAGAGGAAATGTGTGCACCACTGCTGATGTCCTGTAACCCTGTTCCCTTTTTTATCAAGTGATTCTGAATTTCTCAAGGTGGTTGCAGAATTGGATTGCTCAAAGACAAGCAAAGGAGTACATGTCTTTGGTACAAAATCTACACTGGATTAGATGCCATTGGTACATAATCATTGGTATGCAATCTACAGTACAGTATGTGCTATTATAATATAATCTTTTGCACTTAATCTACATTGGAGTAGAGGGCATTAGTACATAATCAGTGGCAAATGATTTACATTGGAGTTGATGTCATTGGTACATAATCACTGGCACATAATATACATTGAAGTGGATGCTATTTGGCCATAATCTTTGGTACATAATCTACATTAGATGAGAGGTCATTAATACACAATCATTGGCACATAATGTACATTGGAGTGGCTGCCATTGGTACATAATCTACTTTGGAATAGATGCCACTGGTACATTATCATTGGCTATTAACCCATATTGGAGTATATGTCATTTTGACAAAATCTTTGGAAAATAATCTACATTGGAGTTAATGTCATTGTAAGATAGTCTTTGGTAAATAATCTACATTTGAGTGTATGCCATTGGTACATAATGTGCATTGGAATGGATGTCATTGGTACATAATCCACAGAATATGCCATTGATATATAGCGCTGCTAAAAGGTAACTTTACAGGACAAGGGAACATTCTTCATTTTTAATGGAAGTTAAAGGAGAAGTATTTTTTCCCCAATATTATTAAAATATTATTTTAATTTTTAACCATTTCTTTTGGCACATTCATAATGAAATTTTGAAACAATATAAAGGGCAACTGCCCTTTTCAAATTATGAGAAAAAATGAAAAATGATAAAAATGGAGATATGAGGTTTTGTCCTGACAGCGATGCTAATCAACAATGAAGTGGACAGCGTTGGTAGATAATTTTTGGTACATAATGTACACTGAAATAGATGCCATTGTTAGAAAATCTTTGGTACATAATCTACATAGATATATATGACATTAGTACATCATTTTTGCTACATAACCTATACCAAAGAAGGTACAGTTTGTGTGTATTCTTTATTACATAATATGCACCATTGCAAACACACTAGTGTTACCTCTAAAGTTAAGTGGTGTTGTGGCTCATTTTTTTGGCTTGAAGGAAAAATACAGCTACAGGTTCCTCCACAACTCGAAAAATGGAGACAAGCGCCACCGCATTTCCATATTTGAATGGATGGATGTCAGTACTGTTTGTTTTCTGACCTTGGTGTGAAAATGCCTGTCTGATGAAAGTGCAGATAAACGTGTGTGTTTGTGTCTGAATGTGTTTATTTTGTGCATCGTGTAGTGCTTGTTTTGACCGTGTGTTTGTTTATTTTGTGTCATCATGTAGTGATGTATGCTCATTATGAGTGTGTGTTTGTGTGTGTCTTCTGGCAAAAAAGAAAAATTCTCCTGGCCTACATGACCTTTTTCTCCTGATAAGAGAGTCTGAGCAAGAAGCTCCAATAAAAGATGCAGAGAGAAGATCGTATCCACCCAATCCTCTCTGGAGTCCTTCGTCTTTGATCTTAACTCAGACCACACACACACTCGCAGACACACACCTTCAGATGTGCCAGCGGATGGAACACACACTCAGAACCTTGCCTTTTGATGAATGACATTTAATATATATTTATGAGTGTCTGTAATCAGGACCTACTTCCTTATTTGTGACCTCTGTGTGTGGGTGTGTTTGAGTGTGTGTGTTGGGGGGCCTAAGAGTGTGTGGTCTGAGAAAAAGACATTTGTCTGATGCATGTGCCAGTAATTTCTTTTTTTCTCATCTTTTATATTTACAAGGCACATTAGCTGCAATTCCCTAGACCAAAGGCAAGTCCTGTTTTTGCCTTTAAGGAAAATTCTACAGATGCTGTCCATTAGACGTTTGAGGACATCTACTAACTTTTCAAATTATTTTAATATAGATGCACATGTTTTCTTTGTTGGCTTGTGACAGCATATCACAATCTAAGCAGATTTATTTAGAGGAAAACACAAGTAAACTATGTGCGTAAATATTTGTATTAGAGTGTGCTACCTTGGAAATAATGCCAAGGCTTTGGAAATTTACCCTCTTGCTGTGTGTCAGTATTCAGTATTTTTTATATCAGCTTTCAGTTTTTAAAACTAGGGATAAGTTAGAATTTGCAGATTCTTGAATAGTGATTAAAGTTTAAAAAAATCTGACGGTAAATAAGGATTTTTGATATGCTAATTAACTGCTCTCTAACTTCCTCTCCCTCTTATACGTTCTCACATTGAAGAACCATGAAATGTCTGAAAGCTACACTCCACCAGAGGGCATTGAAGAGTCTACTTGTTACATTTTGTTCAGACGTTTCATGTGTTTAGTGCAGGGAAGGAACATAAGAGTGGCTGTCTAAAGGATACCACAGCCCATTTGAGAAAAGCCATGCGGCAGATAGAATTGCAGCTGTACCACATACGATGCGTGTTCATCAGTGTCAAGCTCAAGCTCATTTTAATTTCAAATTTCAGCATTTTTTGGTATCAGACAACTAAATGGAGGTGAAATAAGTTACTAGGCTACTAATGTAAGCTTAGATCAAAACAGATGTTTAGCATTTGTCTTAAAAAATTTGTATCAGTGGACATCGATGTGGGTTAAACACTGGGCCGCCCACTTTTCACCTACTTATTTGTGATCTGGGTGTAATATAGGCCAGTAATAGACGCTGTGTGTTGCTTATTTTTAGGACATTATGCGTCATCTACCTGACCCGTCAAGCATCTTGTGCCGTAGAAATTCAAAAAACAAAGTTGACTGAAAAGCCCATCCCTAGTTTAAACCAACATTGGCCTGAAAGAGTTTTAATGGGTGTTTTTACCAGTTGTTCAGAAAACTGTCAAATCATAACTTATGCAAAACTTACTCTTTATGTCAAGGAAGATACTTTAGTAAATATGAGTGTTTCAGCTAAATATACCTGGAGAATTATTAAATAACTAATAGTTTAATCAATTTCATGAACCAACAAAAAAGACTCAAAAGGACTCCCCAAACTTTTGATGGACAGTATATGTTCATTTACTCATTGTACAGGAATAAGGTACATTATTTTCTATTTCACCTGTCTTTGGGAAAGTATCATTAGTATGTATTTCTGCAGTGTTTTCCCAAGATTCAGTTTATTGTTGTTGTTTGAACTCATCTAACTTCCTCTCTCTACAGGTGTGTAACATTTAAACAATGTGTTTCTGATGCACTCTCAACTCCGGGCTCATCGTAGTGTGTGGGCTGCTGTGTGTGTGTTTTGTGTGTGGGTGGGGGGCTTAGGGGGGATTGGCTGGGGTCCGTGCCGCTCCTTCGCTCTGAGTATTTCCTCTCTTTCTCTCTAGTCTCTAAGTGCCGCAGTTTTCGCTTTCTCATCTTTGTGCGTAGGTGTGTGTACACTGCTGCTTAAAAGTTTGGAATCACTGAACACTTTAGTTAACCCCTTAAATGGCCAGGTCCCACCGGCAGGCCCAAAGTTTTATTACACACTTCTATAACCTGAGAATAGCTCAGCCAGTTTGCATTAAAGTCCCTGTAGTCACTGAATAATAAGCCAATAAGCCTGGAATTGAAGGGGGTAAATAAAGATTAGATAAACCTATAAAATGATGCTTATGTGCTGGTCCTGTGCTCATGTCCTGTACTGTCCTGTCCTGTCACAGACTACGTCATAGGAAGTTGTTATGGAAATGATTATGAATACGCTGCTGGATGCCTGAAACATTATTTTGTCATAGTTTTGTGCTAAGATTTTTGCCTAAAATGTTTAAATGTTTTTTTTAACCTATTTATGGCAGAGAGGTACATGCAGGGCGCTGTTAAGGTAAAGTATTTCCCAAAAAAACACTCCACTTACATTAACCACCATTTTAGCATTATCATTACATATAAAAACTCAGAAGACATATGTAGGTTCACTGGTCATTTTGTATTGTAAATGGCTATACAATATATATACTGTGTGTAATGGCCCTAATTTCTATCATCACCACTGTAAAAAAAATTAAAGTGAGTTAGTAAGCTTCTCTGCAATGAACCATTAACATCAAACAACTCTGAAGGACTTTGTTTACATCTCAATAATTGAATCGTACAGACCTTTAGAAACAACAGTCAAATTTCCATTGAAGGTAGAAAATTAGACTCCCTATTTTATGAACAGAGGTTAGACTGAGAGAGTACGGAGGAACGAGTGAAGATTGGTAGCGTTAAGGTGCAAAAACTTTGTCTCAGGAAATGGAAAGTAAAGATGAACATTTTAAGGAGTATGATTGGAAGTAGGAGGGGCTTTAGGCACGGTTCAGTTGGATTTAGTGCAGTGCAATCTCTGAAATACGAAATAGAAATCGTTGCACTCAAATATGGCCATGCTGGTCTGTTGTCTCTTTTCCAAATTGTGAACTTGTATTTTGAAAATGTCTTGAAGTATTGGAGTGTTATATTTTTGCCTCATTTCCCACCCTGAGATTTGATCACTGCTATATATATCACCACTATAATGTTCATCTGGTTGTTATTATTTTAATCTACAGAATTATTAACAAAATTTTAACACAAGTGGTTCCAAACTTTTGAACAGTGTGTGGCCTTTGTAGTGTAATTCTGCATCTGCAGGGTGTATTTGGGCATATACACGCACTGTATATGGAATTTTTCATTACACAAATGCTTATCCTGGTACATAAATCACCCCAGTGTGATCTCACGCTCACTCTCATCCCCATGTGCCTTACCATGGTGAAACCCACGCGGCCACCATGACGATTCCTACCTCCACAGCGCATATGTCATTGCTTATGCTGATAATGTGTGTTTGTGTTAGTTTCACTGTGGTCTGTGTGTGTTTATTTGCTTTTCTGTGTGTGTGTGAATGTGGATGAGTAAGATAAAGTGTAATCTCAGGGTGTCTAGACTGACATTCTGTGGCCAGACAGGATTAGAAAACTGTTTACATAGCCATGCAGAGATATATTCACACTTACTATATTCAGATTAAAATAGAATTAAGGAGTCATTAGCCAGAATAAAGTGTATGTGTATAGCTAAGAAAGTTTAATTATTGTTAAACCATGTTTTATTCAAAGAGCGCTTTTAGTGTTTTTATTTGCCACGAACAATAACACTGATGTGTTTCTTTGTATTTAGAAAAGAAAACAGACAACCTGCTGTTTCAAAATTTATAATAGAAGGCAATGGGCAGTTGCTGAATTATGTCAACAGATGTTTGAACTACAAAACTCGACAGACACTGCCAACAGATTGAGAGAACAGCATTTTCAGAGTATTGTAGATGCCCTATAGATGCTCACCTTGTCTTTACCTAACATTCAACTGCATACCTATTAATCCAACAGAATTCTAGATCCCTCTTGGGTGTATCTGTCAGTTTTCATAGTTAGAGGCTTATTTATCATTTTTAACAAAGCGTTTTATCATAATACCAGAAGAAAAACGGCAACTTCAGTTTGATTTCATTTGAAAGGGGAGTGCCATCTCTTTAACATGAATACAAAATTAAGAGATATAAATCAAAACAGCACAGGACTGAGGGGGAAAAGATCTCCAACTGCTGTGAGTAATAAAACTGTAATACTGAAAACACGTAATATGTATGTAATATGTGGAAAGTATAGGGAAGGAAGTGACTGTTCAGGATCATTACTTAACAGTATAATGTGATATTAGGCTATGAAATGCATGTGACAGTTGAACACAGCCACATTTACCTCATTTCTTTAACTTCGCTGCTATCTAGATAAGTAAATCTCCAGTCAGATTAATCTGCCTTCTTGTCTCTTGGCATCTTAATGGAATGTCCATTGTAAAACAGGATTTATAAACATGTATAACAATTTGTTACACATCAGAAAATGGAATATTTTGTTTAAAAATATTTATATCTATATATTTATATCTTAAATATGTATATTTAATATCTAGTTATAGTTTCTGAAGAATATTGCTGCAGTGAAAGTGAAATCTAAAGTGAAATCCAGGAGAAAACTCCATGGGGTATAGACAGTCTATAGGGGACCATCAGAATACAGTGTAATGAGAGAATGTCTTACCCAAGCTTTTACCCTACTTTATAAAACCGACATAACACAGTAAACAAGCATTTCAGCGTATTTTCACTTTTTCTCAAAGGTTTTCTAGTATCCATGGCGATCAGGCATAGCCTCTGAGAACTCCGCCCACATAAATAGGCTGGTAACAAATTGTTTCAAATTGTTCCCTCCAGAAAAGTAGTTCCATCTCTCAAAGAAATAATTAGATTTACAGTTTAATTTACAGATATCTTTCATGCAGGTGTTCTACAAAATGTTTTACATAGATGTTTACAGACAGAACTCCACACCTGCCCATTGGCTTCTGTTATAAATGTGTTTTCAGTCAACATTGAAGCGATTTTAAATTTTCGTCCATTGTAATCAACCATGCGCTACAGATTTGGTAGATTCCTTTAAGTCACATTTGATTTTAGAAAACTTCATTTATTTAGGTCTTCCATGTGAATGTGTATGTGTGGGGGTGTGTGTGTGTTTCACCTGTGTATCCTTATGTTCTTGTCGCTCGTCTCATGTATGGATAAGCAGAATATTTGCCTGTTTCACTCTCTCTGTTTCTCCTTGTCTTCTTGCTTTTCTTTCTCCTCCTGGCTTTTCTTCTTTTGTTTTCTCTTCTTTCTCTCTCTCTCTCTCTCTCTCTCTCTCTCTCTTTCCCTCTCTCTCTCTCTCTCTCTTTCTTTTTCCTCTTTATCTTTGTTTCCCTTCCTTCCATCTCCATCGCACCCTGCCATCCAAATATCACTCCACTCCCCACTCTCAGACCAGCGGGAAGGTGGGTTCTTTTCTTTTTTCTCTCTCTCTCTTTCTCTTCATGGAGGGCCTGAGGATCAGAGCCACAGCGTTTTTTGCCCTAGCTCCAGGCTTTGGGGCTTTTTTGCCCCACCTGAATTTGCCCTCAAGTCTTCTTTCTGCCCCCGTGTTGTACTGCTTGCTTCCCTGTTCTCTCAGTTCCTGCAGAAGCTTTTGCATGCTGCACTTTGCTGCAGTTGTTTTTGTGCTGTCATGCTTTGTCTGCTTCTTCAGTGCCAAGCCACCTTTTATGTACTGGATGTGTTGTCTCCTTAACATCTTCATTCATTTTCTGTTGAAGGCTGTATCTTATTTATACATCGTATTTGTATACATCTTTGATGTGTTTTTGTTTGTATATATATATACTTTATCTAATTTCTACCCCCTCAACAAAATGATTTTATACAGTACAAAAAAATAATAAAAGTGCAATATAGAAGCATTTTTAAAAGGGCTCCTAAAATATGTATACAATAGAGACTTTAGTACTTGGGGGTATGTTGTCCTACATCATTTGATCACAATCAAATGCAAATGCATTTAAGCAGTCCTGGTCAAATGACATGTTTTATTGATTTTCTTAGAGAAAATAAGATAACACATCTTCTACAGGGAACAAGCTCAAATATGACTTTTTTTCTGCAAATCTTAGTGCACAATTTCTGTTTATTTGGTGAGTTTAACGTATTGCAAATAAACAGAAATTGTGCACTAAAAAGTGCTGAAGTATGTTCTGTGTAGAGGATGTGTTATTTTCTCTTAGAAAATCAATAAAACGTCATTTGATTTCACTTAAAGAAATAAAAAAAAACTTAATTAGACTTATTATGTATAGAACCTTGACAACACAAAAAAACCTTTTTAATGTTTAAATGGTACTTTGTGCAGATAATTGTTTCTTCTCTATGAGAACAGAGAAATTCTATATGGTTGTTCAAAGAACCTATTAGAAAAAATGGTTGTTTGTAGGACCAAAAAAGGTTCCACTATTTTCACAAGTCATTTTTTTGTGCTACGTAGAACCCCTTTTGCTAAGAGTGTAAAATAATTAGAAACATAATTAGAATGGCACACATGAAACGATCAATTTTCAGAAATGTGAATAACCTCATAAGCGTTTAAATAATTCTGTAAGTTGTCATGGTTTTATATATTAGAATTACATTTACTAAAGAACTCTGAGTGTATGCTGCTTCATTGCAAAGCTTTAATGCTCAAGGTCAAACTACAAATACTGGAATTCAGCTTTAGCTCAGCAACTATAAGCTGTTTGCAGATGAGTCCAAATTCCAGTGAGTGTATTTGCCTTCACTCCCCAGCTCAGAGTGTTTCAGCAGGGTTTGTGCTGTTATCCTGTGAGTAACAGGCAGAGAGCCTTTTTAGTTGGGGAGTATTTAAGCTGGTTAAAGCAGCTTTGATTGTTTATTTTGGAAGGAGACATTTCAGCTCTGGCTCCAGCTTTGCCATGGAGAACAATCCAGAGATGAGTGAGGAGCAGCAGGCTCTCTCTCTCTCTGCATGTTTTACTTAAAGGAACAGTTCAGTGAATAATCAAATTTACAGTCCTCTTACCGCAAAGGTAATCGATCAGCCAAGACATGGACAGAACTACAAGCCAAATTCTGACGTTGAGATGGCTGCTACTACTGTATTTAGTTATGCAGTGTATTCTTTCCATTTTTTCACATAAAAGTGTCAGAAACCACATAAGCAAGTCTGTTTGAGATTACTTAGCATCTCGACATGGTTTGTAGCAAGTGTGTGATGATTTAGGCATGCAGATTACACAGTGCTGGTGGTTTATAACCTTCCATCACTTGTTAGCTATAATAAACTTGTAGCTCACTCTAAAAAATGCTAGATTAAAAACAACCTAATTTGCCCTGTATCAGTATATAACCAAACACATGTTAGGTTAAAGTGACCCAGCATTGCTGGGTTATATGAGTAACTCAACACACTGAGTCAAAAGAATTGCACTGATATATGGTTACTTTTTACTAGCACTAAGTTATTTTTAACTTATTCATTGGGTTACTGCCTAAGATTTTTCTGTTTGTAAAGTCAGTGAATTCCTGCTGTGATTCCATGCTGCTGTCAGATTAAGACGCATATTTAATTGCTTGTTTAACTGTAACTGAGAAATCAGAAGTTTTTTCTGAACCCTGCCATAACACAACCTAACTCTGCCTATGTTCCTACATACAAGTTACGTCTGAATACTGCTGTACCAAACAGTATATTCCAAGTAGCAATGGCACATCACACCATTTGTTTGGAGACACAGCCTCGGGGTGCACCCGTACCACAAACGAAAATCTCCTTGCTAGACAAACAAACATGTCTTGACTGATTAACTGCATTTGGGGAAAGAGTTAAACACTCTTAAATGAGATTTTAGATGCTGTTTAGTTTTTATGTTGTAGACCTGGTGGTTTATTACAAGTCTTTTAAACACAGGTTTACATCTTGGTTCTCTCTTTCAGAAACAGAGTGGTTGAAAGCTAGTTGAGGAATGGCTTTCCAATCAATGCTACTTTTAGAGAGAAAGCCAATCAGAGTTTCATTTGTATCGATTAGATGAGAGCCAGAATTGGATTGCTCGCACCACCCCTGTACATTAATGGATAGTTTTGTTTATTTATTTATTCATCTATTTATTTGTCCGTTGGTTGCAGGAGCATGCTCTGTTGGTTGTGGCTTGATGCTGCTCTGCTACCTGCTTGCACTGCTGCCTGACATACTTCTGGAAGAATGTATATGAGTGTGTGCATGTGTTTGTTTTTGTACATTTTTCTATGCAGGAAAACCAGAGAAAGATAGGGGTTGGCTAAGGAAGGCTACACCTTCTCAGGCTCAGCAAAACAGTAAAATGGTTATGGATGCACAGTTAAATCACGCACAGGTTGATATCAGCAGATATTTAGATTTCATTGCTCTTTTAATGATTTAATGAGCAGGTCATATAGGTGACGCTGGGCTACTATGCTAACATGTCTACATTTTATTAATTTTACAGCATTTTAACCCTCTACAAATAAGTATTTGTAAGTAACATAAGTAACATTTGACTGTAATGGTAATCCAGATAGATTTAGTGCCAATTTCTTCATTTTGTGAATGTTTATGTATCGGCATCGACAGCTATGTATATTAAAGATATTTGAAATTAGCGTCAGCCAACAGTTCCCATGTTCCCTAAAAATGGTAAGGTGCTTTTGTTTGTCCATTTATTTATTTTTACAAGAAGCTAAATGTTTAATTTTTTTTACTGAGAAGGCAAAACCTTTTTGATTACTGAGGTTAATATTAAAGTCAGGCTTAAACAATTCTTATTACATAGAAACTTATGTATAAGAAATATACAAATATTTACATGTAAGAAATTGAGTATGAAATATAAATATAGATGTAGATATAGATATTAGAAATGTTAATGATTAACCAATTAATTGTTAACCAACAAACACATGTTCAACTTTCAGTTAAAAAGTTTATTTCATTTCTGATGAGCAATTGATATGAGAATATGAGTTTTCATACAATTTTGAATTGTACTCGTGAGGGTGCAAGAGTACGGCTTGTTCCGGGAGCCATAGTTAGTTATGAACTGGGTTTCTGGAGTCGATTCTGACTCTCGACTCCTGTTGCTGCAGTCTGTCTCTTCGACTCCCTTTAATTTTAACAAGAGTCATTGATAAAAGGATATAGTAGAGATTAAACCATTCTAAATGTAGTTTAAAGCACTATAGCAAAGAAGATATTTAGCCTAATGAAATAGTGCTAAAGAAGGCTACAACTGACCCTTTGTTTGTTAGCTAAAGGTTAGCCTATGTAGTTAGTCCCATGACAAAAACGCTTAAAAGCTGTGAGCTACTGGCTTTATTTTGATTGTTGTTTAAACTGCATATGAACTTCACACTAGCCCCAGCCAGCCCATATATATTCACACGCTAATTACGTGTGGTACATGTTAGTAAGTAAACTACATTAGGTCAATATCATATCTGTTACGTTAGGCTGCATTTTTCATTCAGTAAAGCTTGAAGCCTTGTTGAAATAAAACACTTTTCTGTGTTTGATATTTTTATGGGTCGGTTATCGGTCAAAAGATCTTGCCAAAATTTGCATCCCTAATACCTATGGGACATATTATCATTATATATAGGTACTTATTACATTTAGACACATATATGTGGCCCCACTTCCTGGTAAGGTACAAAAACAAATGTGAATGTATGTGTGTGTGTGTGTGTGTGTGCATGTGTTATCCTATGTTCATGGACCACCTCTCCCTCCAGCTTCCTGCATTAGAACCCTGTTGCCCTTCTACATCTTTCTCTTTTTTTCCAATCTGTCTCTCTCAAACGCCCCCACCCCCCCACTACTGCCCCCCCACACCTGCCCCCCCCCCAGGTGGCATGCCTGCAAAACCAGGGTATGTGTGTCTGCATTTTTAACAGCTCACTTCACACACAGTGTTAACTCTCCCAGAGCTCAGGAAAAATGAGTTCAGTGACTAATGCTGGGTCTGACCATGTCCTAACCGCCGCTGCTGCTGCTGCTGGGGCTCAAAAGCGGCCCACTCACACTCTTGACTCACTCCAACTGAATTGACCTCTCCATGCTCTGCCCACAAAAGCATTCTTTCAATGCTACTATTTTAAGTTTTGACAAACTTCACAAAAATCCCATTCAACCTAATGAGGAACTTAGAAAGTGCCTTTAACCCGTTTTGCACAGCAGCCATAACATCCAATCTTTGCTTGTTTTGGAGGAGGTCCAAAACATGTATACGATTACAAACAACTGGATTTGTAGGCAAACAAGCAAGTCAACATTTATAAAAGTGTTTTTTTTTAGTATGTTTAAATGCTGTTTTCTTATTGTGGCAGTTGTACATGACTGATAGAAAGACAGCTGCACTTGTCCTGTATCCATAGCCATCCTTGTGGAGAGGTGTGAATTGTTTTAGCCCTC